TATATATAAAATATATAATACTGGAATGAAATTAAATCTATTTATTAGCCTAACTCATACAGTTTGATGGCAACAAAGTTTCCACCTTACTTAACTCTGAAACAGGAAGACTAAGGAGTCATAAAGATAGAATTGAGTGGGGTTTTTTCCTCTACTCCTGTTATATACAGTATTATGTCCCCTACAAATCTCGTGACACAGACACTTAACCTACCATGATTACCATTATGTTATATAAATAGCAACTGTGGCTATGATTATAGATATTTACTAATTTGTTGTGAATTGATTTGACTGATATTCTAGAGCTGACACTAAAATGTATCAGTTGAAGAACATAAGCATCGTGCAGAATCTGCAGATCCCCATATGTAAACATGGGTTTTTTTCCCTATAAGGAAGATTGAGTTTTACAAGGATAGTGTTGAGCATAAAATACTGATGAGAATATTGTCATCCTTCTAGATATAAATGAAAACATTTGGAAATGCATCACATTGTACAGACCATTCCTTTTCCTGTTGGACTATTGGTCCTGTCAAATGATTCCTTTCTGTGCTGGGGGGAGACAGGCTTTAGTCATGAAGTTACACGAAATAAGGAAGAAAGGCAACAAGAAGCAACCTTGCCTAGGAGCCATGAATGGTGAAACAGGCAAGATTCTGAGGTAAAAAGTCACATCCTAACAACCATCGACTCCCAAAAGGTACAAGACATGCCACAAACCAACTTAGAATGAACCAAAGGGGAACCAAGAGACATTGCCAGGACTTGGTCTGTGTCCTTCGTGCTCCATATCAAACAGAAAATTATCTGAGCCAACTCACCCAGACATGCCCACCTCAGTGGCTAGGAGTATGTGGGTGTGGGAATGTGAGAGAGGGAAATCTACGAGGGAATGAGTGTGACTGAAATTAGTTTAAAATAAATACCTCCCCCCTCCTTTTCATGAGAGCTCACACCGAGTTTTGCTACGTTAATTTCCTACCCATGTTAATATACTTTATTGATGCATTTTAACATATAAATCAAGTGAAAAAAAATAGTGTAATAAAATATCGCAGATCTAAGACTCTATATGCTTTTACAAGCATTCATTATAGTAGCTTGTTGAGTTACGCTTTAATAAAAGTCCTATTACTGTGTTTATCATGCTCTTATAAATTTGAAAATGCCTTCACCAAAATTGGCACTGTATATTTTTATTACAGAGCTCAGTCATTTGGACAAAATATTGTGCTTCAAAGCTCCACAGTCCCATTGAAGTTAATATGATTCCATTAGACATAAACCACTTTCTAATCCAAACCATTGGGCTAAATTCATTCAATGTATAAGATAATAGTTTATGTATAACATAGACTAGGCTGAATTCTGTGCTAAAATACAAATGTTGAATTTTTATAATAGGCAGAAATAAAAGGTACTCATTTGAAGTCACAGAACTATTGGCAAGACTATTTTATAAGGGCACACATTTCTAACAAATACATTCAAATACATTGGCAAATGCGTTTATTTTCCTCTCAAGGATTACAGTTGTTTTCTTTCCTGCTTTTTGAACCATGAACTGCATATTTTCATTTTACTTCTAAGTGCTTAAGATTCTCACAATTTAAAATGATCTTGTAATAAATAGAAGCTTCATAAAAACTATGCTCTGTGGACATGGACCTTTATTCTGATTTAACAGCAATGCAAGTTGAAATATATGTATACCACTTAAAGTCTTTTTTTGTCAACTTTGAAATTACTTTTGCAAATTAATTGATGTAGGTGAATTTGTTTGCATTATCCTTTGATTACTGCTGGGGTCCATCTCCAAAAAAAGCTCCACAGGCTCAATGAACTGCTTAAATCCATTCATCTCTATAGCAATATGTTTTCTGTTGAGCCAGTAACCAAACTGTTAAAGCTTTTTTTCTGAATACAGCCTCAAAGTCTGCCAATGCTTGATTTACCCTTAAGTGTTAAGTAAAGTATATTTAAAAATACTCTAGGAATCCTCTCTGGTAAATCAGCTGTAGTTCTGCAGCTGTGAATCAGTAGCCCTGTGTACCGAGTTTTATTGCCAGTTTGCCTTCCAACTATGGCAGATGTACTGACCAAGCACTTCACCAACTATTTGTCTGCAACATCCACAGCATGATTCTCTGGGCTGCTGAGCAACTGCAGCTCATACTGGTGAAAAAGAATGTCATTCAAAAATGGAACTATCTACACATACTGACAATTCCAGACCATGAAAGGCAAAACAACTTCCATATTTTCATTTTTTTTTCTACTGTAATATGAAATCAAGAACAGTCATCACTGAAAGCTGTTTCTCTTTTCAAGTTTACTTTTTTTTTGTTCCACTTTTTAATAATCAAAGTGAGCACCCATCCATCTGAATGCCCATCCTGCCTGTAACTTGACTGGATACTTCTTTTAGATTACTTCAGTGAAATATACATGGAGTTTGATGTGGTGGTATGTCACTGAGAGCAATCAATGATGAGCTGGAATTTAGTGGAATGGGATTTCAGCTAGCCTTGCTAGAAATTACTGGTTTTAGTGAGGGGCATTAAGCAGGATCTAGCCTATTGAGACTAAAATTAGTGAGGTAGCCTGGATCAGACCAAGAATTGTTTCAGCCAAGAAAGTTGCCTTTGGAAGGCGTCTACCCCAGTTATGCCAAATTCAGTGCAGGCTCAGTGAAGCACAGCCTGGGAAGTAGCTTGTTGCAGCCTCGAAGGATTCAGGCTCAAGAGGAATGGTAATTAAGACAGAAGCCCATGTCAGACACAAAAGTTTTATTTGAGACCGTTTGGCTCAGTAGAAGGTCTCTCTGTAGGGGAGGAGGCCAGGAATTCAATGAGTATTTCATATAGATGCTAAGCTGACTAACAGGCAGCTAGAGGTCAGTGTTTGGTATGCTGAAACCACGTATCTAGCATTAAAAGGTGCAAGTTTTCAAGAGAGGGAGAAAAGTATTAAGAAACATCATTACTGTAGGCTCTAGCCACAACAACTCTTTTACATAACCCCATCTGCTTGCCTTAATAGGATTGTTTCTGTATTGGGTCTGGCTGAGCCGGAGTCAGTATCTCCCCAGCACCCTCCCAGTGCTGAGTGTGACCCTGGCAGCCAGCAGGGGGTGTGTCACACAGCTTGGGAGGGGGCGGAGCCGGGACAGCTGACCCGGATTGGCTGTTCCATACCATGTGACCTCAGCTCAGCCAGAACAGCCCAGGGCAGGGGGGAGGAGGGGGGCATTGGTTACTGGGTTTGTCTCCAGGAGCAGCTGCTGCACACACTGAAGCTCTGCTTTCCTGGGAAGTGGCCGGACATCGCTTACTGAGGGGAAGTGGAGAATAACATCTGTGTTTACCTTTTGTTTCTGTGTATGGCCCTGGCCTTTGCTTTAATTAAACTGCTTTTATCTTGACCCACGAGTTTTTCATCTTGTTCTCCCCCTTTACTTTGCTGAAGGGGGAGTGATAGAGGGGCCTGGTGGGCACCTGGCATCCAGCCAAGGTTAACCCACCACAGTTTCACGTCAGTTTTCAATTTTTAAAAGACCTCCAGCATAAAGAAAGCAGGAGTCAAGTAGTTATACTCTTCTCAACATTCAGTAGCTGGTTGGGCTATATACACATACATACATGCAACGTAAGAAAGTAGAGCTTATATTGTCTCAGATCATCTTTAAAAAAAAACACCATTTAGCCTCTGAGTTGCTCAAAGACTTTATGACAGTCATAGAACTGGTGTTTATATTAGATCTATCTACCATTCCACCGTACCTCACTATCATATGCACAGACTCTGCAAAAGTGGATAGAATTGCATTCCCCAATATTTGAGCATGTCACATCCTTATAGTTAATGTATCAAAATAAAGAGAATAGTTTATTAAGGCCACCTAGCATACACATCTTTATCTAGAACCCTGGCTTTTCAGCTCCTAAAATGAACATGACTAGTATTACCACAAGATTACTTCTGCTGAGCAATCCTAAACTAAGTAACAGACTGACTTGTAGCTATGGCTTGCTATTTCAAAGGATGCAAAATAAGTTAAAAATTGAAGTCCTTAAAACTGATTAAGATCTAGGCACCTATCTCCACCCAGCCACCTTAGTCTTACTTGAAAACATCCAGCCTGTGCTATATTCAGTCTGGATCAGACTGAAACCAGCCACAGAACGCAGTCTGGCTTTAAACCATCTTGCTTGCTGCATACTAATTTCAAAATTCAAAAATCATGTTCAAAATTAAAAGTGGCTATTACTGATTAGAAAATTGTTACCTTTCCTCCCTGCTCAGCTGAGTTACCTCTTCATGAACTGTATTCCTATTAAACATAAAACTGCAAATCACCTCTTGCAGAGTTTCCATTTCTTCATTAGTATTGAGTGGACTATCTATATAACCTGACATCTGTCCAGCCATGCTTTCCTTCCACATGCTCAGCTAGAAGGTTAAATTCATTACATCAGGGACAGCAGTGGTATTTAGGTTTGACTTACTGATCTCTGCTGCTATTACTGTAATGTTGTGCCATAGCAGTGTTTCCCGGTCAAGGGGTTTTGAAGTAAATATCGAACCATTTCCTGAATTGATGTTGAATACTCTGTCCATATCAGTGTGTCGATCTACAGAGTACCTGCAAATACAGAGACAGGGGTTAGGAGAGTGCTTTCCTTTTAATTTCTGTGTTCCTAAACCATTTTCTAAGATGAGACATCAAACAGCTAGTAAATGGGGTTGCCTTTTGTTTTCAGTGCAGGCTTCAGAGTCTTTATATAATCACACAAAGAGCTAGTTCTGAGCTATTGGATAATGACACATTGGAGGTTTGATTATAGAAGGTGGAGCATTGTCACCGAATAAATGAATTACTGTGGAATTTGCATAGCTCTGAGAATCATCAAAGCTTTGTTTTTAGTGAGAAATGTGAAGTCTGTGTCCTGAAAGATACGAAGATTCTTTTAAGGCTGAGTTGGCTTTCCTATTATAAACCTCTCTTTTTATGGTTTAATATCTCAACTTTTCTGATATAATATTTGATAGCTGGGGTGCATTTCTGCCTTTCACTTCCCAGCGTTTAAAAAGACTGCCCCCAAAACAAGTCAGCATGGAACAGAGATTCATTATTCCATGGTATATATCACATAAAGGCTTGCTGTAATTCATTAAAAGTCATGGTATCTAGATGTGAAAACGAATGCTAACAAGCTCTGGAGGAGCTCAGGAGTCTAAATATGGATTCAATTTTTCAATCTGATCTTTCGCTTTTTCTGCTGAACTGAATCCAACTTCATAGAATCACAGAATCATAGAATCATAGAACAGTTTGGGTTGGGAGAGACCTTAAAGGTCACCTAGTTCCAACCCCCTGCCATGGGCAGGGACACCTTCCCCTAGACCAGCTTGCTAAAAGCCTCATCCAGCCTGGCCTTGAACAACTCCTTTAAAAGTAGAACTCTCCAGTTCATGGTAGAGGGTGCTACCAGTCTGATCAACATGCTGTGACTTGGTTTTGTCTCTCGTGAAGACAAAATTGTTGCATAAATTATGGAGGTTTTGATGGAAATATGTCTTTAGTGTTCATAAAGCAAGAATACAATTGTATTATTCTGCTCTTGTTTGAAGCCAGAATGTGTGCTCACGGACAATCCAGGACAGAGCCTTAGGATGCCCAATGTGCTCCCTTGGTGTCTCCTTGCAGGTGATGGAGACAAGACAGCTGCTGCTTGTGTCCAGGCAAGGGTAAAGATACAGCTCAGCTGGTATGCAGTCAGAGGAAAACTGGGCCAGGAGAATGACTGGCAGAGCTTGCTGCCACTACAGAATTGAGGGGCATGCAGGGGCTGAAGAAAAATTTCTGTTCCCTGCTTTGCTCCAGGAGCAGCTGCGTGACATGTCCCTTATTCTGCACAGATTTCCCAATGCCTGTGCAGTGTCTCTTAACTGCTGAGAAAGATCTTGCATACAAGGAGGAGGAAATAGAAGAGTCCAGTTGAGACATAATTCTGGCAAAGGTTTAAAATTAACTAACTTGCTATCTACCTTGTAACTGCATTTTTTCCCTTCTTTGCAAGTGAAAAAGTGGGATCTAATATCCACAGCAAATTAGAGTGGTCTTATTCTAAAATGAGAATTTTAGTATAGCATACCTTCCTAAACAAAACTATAGCAAGTATTAATTATTTGCAATAAATTGTTTTTTCCACATTAAATTCCCATGGAAACAACCAAATTACATTCAAAGGTACTCACACAGCTAACTTTTTTTCCTTAGGATTTGCATAGGCACACCTTGCTATTTTTTCAGGAATTGGTTTAGTTTTTGTTCCCTTCTGTCACCTGACTAACAGTACTGCAATTTCAGCTGCATGAAGTCAGCTGTGGTGTCACTAACCTAGTTCCTTTATGCAGCATTGTAATGTTACCATCCACTTGAAAAGGGTATGTGAGAAGGTATGCAATAGGCAGCGCTGACTGATGGGACAGCTCCAGCAAGCTGTGTTGTTTTGTCCAAGTCTAAATAGTACATGTGAATTTGTTGACTTAGCCGAAATGTTTCATGGAAACAAGTTTATACAAACCAAGTCTGACTCTCTTGTATTTTGACAAAGTAAGTACTTGATATGGTAAACAATTCATTTTAACTTTCATTCATTCAGGTTTTTATATGATATTATGTTGGTATTTTGTGAATTCAATTATTTTACAGATATTCTGTAGCTCATTTCCATATCTTTCAGCTGAAATGCTTTGGTATTTCCATTTTGCAGTACATCTAGATTCTGCATTCCTATTTGAAATGAAATATCAGGATTTTCCATAGACTAGCTGTTCCAGCCAACTGTAATAGCATGTTTCAGGCTCTTATTCAGCAAGATATTCAAGTAAGCAACTAGCTTCAGGCATGAACTGTCCATTTATTGGGTTTTTTTGTTCAATTATGCTTTCACTCATGCCTGATATTATGAACGGACTTAAAAGATCTTACTGTCTTGGCATATTTTAATGCCTTGGTATATTGTAATCGCTATCATTAATTTGTAAGATTTCCCAAATTCAGTCTGTGGTACAGCATCTGGAAGAAATAAATAAATAAATAAATTGTTCTGGACTTTTTTCTAAGATTATCAGAGCTGTAACACTGAGGACTTCTTCAAGATATTAAGAACTTTAAAATATAATATAACATGTATATTCAGTCATTTGTACAAGGGAAAGTTATACTCACAAAAAAACCCAGACAATGGCTTCTTAATGAAATGTTAATTTTATTTCTTCATTTTCAAAAGAAAATACACACAAGGCCAATGCAGTTAAAGTATATTCTAATTATACCATTAACCCTAGTCTAGAAGGATGATATTAATAAGCTAGACTGTCACTTCTGTTTCTCAGTTCATAAAATCCAGTGTCTTTTGATCAAGGCCTGTTAATTGTGTTGAATTGGTGGCGATTCTGACTTATGGATCATAACCTAGCAAGAATTAAGCATACAACATCAAACTCATTTTTACATTTATTTAATGAAATTACTGGTGCGTATTTATCAGATCTCAGGACCTCATCCCTTTCAGACCCTGAAGAACTGACAAGCTAAGAAGTTAAAAGGTATCTATGTAGATTCCAGACTCTCCTTGTGCAAAACAGGAAGAAAGGGAGGGTAAAAGAGAGAACCTAACACATGCAAATATGTTGTCAGTAAAATGCACAAACAAAATTAAGCCTTACATTTGTTTGCAGATCATTTTCATCTGGGATACTTTAGTAAATCAAATCACAGCAGGGAGACAGTTCCAGTGACTGATGAACGTCATTATACCTCTGAGGAGTTACTATAGCAAAAAAACTGAACTATTTAAAAAAATCTAATGTACAATACAGCAGTGCCAGTTGCAGCATTATTTTTGTCAGTATGCGACAGTTCATAGTACTTCTGTTTAGGTCAAGCACAAGCAGAATGCAAACCTTTTTTTACAACACAGTTGGACAATGGAGTGTTACTCAGGAGTGTATTAATGTCGCATGGATGCATATTCAAATATAGCCAAACATCTATTTGTATATTTTTGTATTTTCTTAATGCCATGTCACAGCAATGCTTATTTATAAGGGCTGGTCTGATGAAATGTAGCTCTACCGACACACAGGTCACGAACGATTATGCTGTCTTACAACTAGGGCAGATACCCGCTTCATATTTTTCTATTGCTTCATTGTCTTCTGATATTCAGCAGCTTGCTGTCTAATGTAACCGCAAATCAGGAAGATTTGTGGGTCAGGAAGAGATGTGTGTGTGAATTTTTTATAATGCATTTTCATAATGATATTGTGAAGGTTTCCTTTAAGGGAAGATCAAAGGGGCTTTCATCTAACAGAGTTAGGACTCAGTTTGTTTAAAAAGAGAAACCTTCACTCGAATAGAGGAGAAAATGGAAGAGTTTCATTGTAATATCAAGTGTCTAAAGATTTTATTTTTAACCGTCAAGAAAAATTGACAAGCAAGTGACAAGTCATATATATACAGTCTAATTGCATCTTCCCCAAAGCTCAGAGTGAAAATCGGATTTAGTATCTCTATTGCATGATGAAAAAAAAAAAAAAATCTCCCTGTCAAAAAGATGCAGATTCAACCTGTGCCTCTAATTCTAGGAGATACCCAAGATATTAGCACCATAAAATTACATTTATTGCAAGCTAACATCTCTCTGGCTACTGCTCTCTGCTGATTTTCTTCCCCTCTCACTAATTTTAATGTTTCTTTTTGCTGTGTTTATTTCTATTACTCTAACCCCTTCCTCATTTTTCTTTTTCTTCCCCATTCACCTTGATGGTTGCATGCTATTAGAGTATAAAGGAGACAAGTTTTCTGCTGCACTGCATCAATTTTGACACCTCTGCTGAATTTTGCTCAAAAATTATCTGATGCTTTAATATGCAAAGTACCTGTACTGTATTAAAGGACTGCCCTTTGAAAGATAGGTAAGTCTTAGCACACACATTCAATTAATAGAAAAGGGCCAGTAGGCAGTACTCAACAATGAACAGCATAATCCCTATCCACTGTAAATCACTTATAATTAGGAGCTGGTGCTGGTGTGAAATGCAAATGGTTGTAGTTATCACCACAGGGAAGCAGAGGAAAGCAGGGAAGCACTCCCCCCACTCTCTAGTGCCATTAGATACAAAAAAGCAGGTTCATATGAAGACTGCAAGGGACTTGGGTGTCACTCCAACCAATTGTTCATCTTCATGCTAGCATGCCCATGAAGACAAGCTATAGAAGGTGTCCATTCTGTCCCTGGGTTTCACCAAAGTCAGCAAAACATTATGTTGCTCTTTAAGTTACTATGCTCTGCTAGTCCAGAACTCCATATAATTGTTGCATGTCATGATATAAAGGAAAGAAAACCTTAATTAAAATTAGAAGGCTTAGTCTTGAACAAACATTCATGTGCAGGGCATTGCATATAAACTGAAGACAGAAAGGGTTTCTGCCAGAAATGTTTTAGATTTAATTTCTTCATCTAGGAAATTAAGATTATAATATTTACCCCTCTCACAAGATGAGCTGAGAGATTAAAACTTACTCATGCCTCATAAACATTGTAAGATATCTTGATGAAAGATCGTTGTTTGCAGAAGTGCAAAGTATTGATGGCTTGGATTTTTATTAAACCTGCATTGTTCTATTTTGTCTTAAGACTGCTATTGCATTTCCAAGGTGCCGAACCCAGAGACATGCTGAAAATTGACCTGGATTTAATATTGCTATATTTTTAATTTCCTCCTCTTACTGCCTTGACAGTAGCAATGAACTTTAATTAAAGCACACAACTATTTAAAAGTTCTTTTATACTCCATCCAATATCACTTAAGTACTCCTATATTTTTTCAAATGTAATGAAACAATGTACCTGTTAATTTACACAAAAAGAAGGCTTAGGTTTAGCCTTAACTTTAGCATTTCCTCCATTTCCTCTAAGACTAGTTTGTTGATTCATGGCAAGTGTAATTTATGAAGTTTGTGAAACTGATTCTTGTCTTACTAACTTTACATTGATACAAGTGAGATCAGAGTCTGTGTGTGCACATGAGCTGCTTTTAAGGCATTTCTGCTTGCAGTTTAGGAAGGTAAAAGTGACCTCTGTTAAGCAAGTCTGGATAGACGGGATAAGAAAGGGCTGCTGAATCACCCTCCTGTCATATAGCCAAAAGGATGCACCACACTGCACTGGAAAATATTGAAGGTGGAACAAGAACACTAACATCTTCTTAGTGCTATTTTTGCAGTAAATACTTCTGTGTTAGAAATAACCACAAACATTTGTTACTGAAGAGGATAAGATGTAATTCAAGATGCAAGGGCCATGCCAACACAATTACACATACCTAGATGTGCTCAAGTGTGAGAGAACATTTACCATCTACAACATACTATATTTAGGCATACCCAAACCATTTCATTGTTAAACTGATTTTTTTGTGTGTGTGCCAGGAAAAAGAAAAAAAAAAAAAAAAAAAAAAAAAAAAAAAAAAAAGAAGCTGCAAAAAATTTACGTACAAACTGAAATAGTCTATGCTTACTTGACAGGGTTCCTGGCAGCATCTGGATCCTGAGCAGTTACTGTTCCTATTATACTGTTTATTGGAACATCTTCTTTCACCTCCATTATGTATGCTGGTCTGCTGAACACGGGAGGTTCATCTACATCCTCCACCTGAATTCTGACTGTAGCTGAGTCCTTAAATGGCCCCAGGTAGAGGAATCGAGGGTCCACATGAGTATTTGTAGCTTCCACTTTCAGAATATATAGGTTTTTATTTTCAAAATCCAATGTCTGGGAAGAGAAAAAAAGAGTTTGAGAGGTCTGTGAGGATTGCTGTGGCTTGCAGCCAGATGACCTAAATGAATGGGGGGATGTCATGGAGAGGCCCATGCTAGATAAGAGGAAACTGAACTGGAATTAAAGTGCCAGCAGAAAGGAGAAAGACAGGGCTCTACGCTACTCATGATATGGTATAGAAAAAAACACATTTTCAGGGAATTCTGTGCCTGGAGCTTCTAAACATCAATTAATCTTTCCTTCTCAAGTAGTCTTAATTTTTCACCCCTTTTATTCTGTAATCAGTGTTTTCTTATCCATTCCTTGCCCCTAAGCACCAAGCACTGAAGTGGGGAAGATTTTCTAGGAGCTGCTTGTTTAAATACTGACATTCCATCACTGAAACGAAACACTGTGACATCCAGTGTCTGGATATCCAGGACCACCCATAAAGGAAAACATGATTTTATGATAGGCTATGACTATCTCACACTCTGTTAAAAGTATGAAGAGGCAGCATTTAGCGACTCTTTGTTACAGTACTTAGAGAAATGTGGGGAGATAGTAGTCACCCCGTTTTTCAATTATGTTGTAGAAGATTCACAGCTTCTGTCAGCAACAGACAAAAATGCAGACAGAGTTAGACTGATATCATAATCAGGCCCTGGAAGGCATCTCCTAAAAAACAAGTAATGACAGGTGTCGTACCGATATCAACGAGGAAGTGCATGTTCAGAAAATCTACACAATGTCTATCTAGTGATGACTGAACTTGAACTGATGGAGGATGATATCTTTAACCTTATCAAGCTTGCCTGATAACCCGCTGTAAACAATATTTCTCAAACCTTTTCTGACAGCCAATGTGCAACCTAGTAGATGATGTCCATTGTGATCCAGCAAGGCGCTGTGATTTTTTTCTAAAGCAAAAGCATTCTGAAGGATTTATTAATTACATTTTTAGAAAAAGTGAGTAAAAAGAAATTTGTCTATATGCATATGTTCAGACTGTAGAATTTTGTCTCTGTCCTATCCCACCCCCTAGGTTATTTACTCTCTCAGGTCCTTCAAATTATGTGCGTTGGTTTAGCAAAGGAGGGTGTAAAAGGAAGGACCCCAATTGCTTGTATAAAAGAAACCTTACATAGGAAACATAGAGATTCCTAACAGAGAGCATTCAAATTAATAAACAACACATATTACACTAAAAGTGGAAAATAAATACGTGCTAGATAAAGTTTTGGCTAGTATTTCAGAGACTGGGATTAAGTGCCTTAAGATGTGTACCTTTTTGACAGTTATAATTCCTTCCTGCGTGTCCTTGTCTGTGGTAATTCCAAACATGTCATGTCCATCCCCCTCAGTGATGCTGTATTCAATCTCTGCATTTTCATCCACGTCAGCATCATTAGCTTTTATCCTGCCAACTGGTGAGTCAGGTGGCGTAGACTCAGGAGCTCTGAATTGGTATGTGCCTACAGCAGACAGAGAAGGAAATTTTCTCAGTCAGTCTCATGGTACTTTGGACACCATCTCTCAGCCCGCTGGCCATGCCGGGCAGGCACAGATGAGTTAGCAGGTTACTGTGTCTTTATGTCTTCCTGGGGAAACAACCTTCAGCTTCTGCTTTACTTTCATGTGGGTACAAGTAACTTATTTTTCTATCTATTTTCTTGTATGAAGGATGGGCATTTTGTTTTCCTACATACATGTATCTTTAGCAACATATGTGCCTTTCTAGACATTATCAGGGTCTCCGCTGGCCATATAAAACTGTATATGAAAAATGTCTTGAGGCCAAAAGACAAACATTAAGAACTGCCAGAGGCCAGTGCAGCTTAGTAACACTAAAACCAAGACCAGCCAAATGCCTATTAATAAATGTGCTACCTTGAATTCTCCTCTGAAAAAAAATCTATTTGGGGAATGTTGGCATTATGAAGCTGTATATTTGGCTTTTATATTGAAGACACTTATGTCCAGACATGTATAATTAACTCATTGGACTCAGAGTGCTATATTTTCTCTTAAGTTGCTCTAATTTAAATGGAAACGCTTTGCCCACAGCTAAGAACAGACTTTGAACTTAAATGACAAGTTGCTTCCAATAACTTTCCCAGTGACTTAACTGCCAAAGCTTGCTGATTTTTCTGATAGTATCTGCAATTATTTTCTCTAACAGCTGCTCTTGATTTTGACACACACTGACACTGTGAAACACACACATCACACACAGAGCAGTGGTTAGACAAAGCAGAAAAGAAGAAAAAGAGAGAGAGAAAGAAGGAAGAAAAGAAAAAAGAGAAGAAAGGAAAAACAGGGAAGGAGAACTGGATGAAAACTGAATCAATCTGAATCATTTATGGCCAGGAGTGGTCATTAATAGAAATTACTTTCTAAGAGATCTGGCTCAGGTGACTCCCTTAAATACCACACACATATCTACCAAATGATCTGAGACAAGGGAAGGAAAATAGGCAGAAATATCTGGTGTATTTATGTATATGCTTTTGTTTCTGTATGCAAATAATATAGGAAAATCCACTGAGGCAAATACTTCCTGGGTGTAAGTATTCACTTTGATAGAATTGCTCTCAGGATTGTTTTACATACTTAAATAAGTATGTTTCAAAACTTAAATATATTAGATTAGAACAGATATCTTAAAATGCAGTCAACAACAAGGTCTAATAGAACTAATATTGCTCAAGAAATATAGATTATATCAGTCAAAGCTATTTAATGGGTAGGAAAAGTAATGTTTCTGTACATTAATTCACCTCTCAGACTATCTACTGCAATTGGAGTGAAAATACTAAAGATATGTTTATCAGTTATTGCAATTAACCTTAGCATGACCCTATTGCTTGCTTGTGTGTTGTCTTTCTTTCTTAAAGAAGTCTGATACTCAGTAAGTTCGTGACAGCAGAAACAGTATCTGAAGTGAAAAACAATCAATTTTTTGTCCATTTTACTGTAAAGGCATAGAATGTAAATATTCCATACTCTGGGGGAAGCGAGGCGGATTGTCGTTTACGTCAGTCAATGTGATGTTCACGGTGGTGGTTCCTGATAATCCACCCATCTGGCCTCCCATGTCCTTAGCCTGGATGACCACTTGGTACTGCTCCCTGTTTTCACGGTCCATGTTTAGCAAAGCAGTTTTAATAATGCCTGAAAACAGGAAAATTAAAGAGGGGGAATTCACAAGTAAGGTATTGACTTTGATGAAAATTCTTATTTTAAAAAAACCCACAGCCTTTAGAACAAAACAATCTCTGTGTAATAAGTAAACTTTGCCCAGTACAAATATTTACTGTTATGAGATGGCACATTAAATTACAGACTTGTCATATCATATCTCAGGATGCTGCCTATGTGACAGACATAATACTAGTGGCATCCCCAGAAAGATGTTCTACCTATTTGTGAGCAGTGTTATTTTACATAACTATTTACCTGCTTTCAGTTCCATGCAAAAGTCTCTCACTGAACTGGAAAAAGGCTCTTTGTTCAATATAATGTGCTCTATTTTTTCTCTCCTGTTCTGTCAATATTTTTATTTTGACAGACATGGTAAAAAAAAAAAAAGCTAACTTCAGCAAGACATCATTAAAGAGGCAGTACAGCAACATTAAATGGGAGAAGAGAACTTAATTAATAAAATTGTGAGCATCCAAGCATGCCCAAGTATGTATATTTCTATTTATACATTGATTTAAATTATTTTGCCAGTCATTTCCTTCTTCAAAAGCACAAATACCGGTTATGAGGCCAACTCCTATTGAAATTGAATCATTCAGATTTACCATGAAGCAAAATGTTTGCATTTCCACTGGGTCTCCTAAGGCTAAGAGCTAACTCCTTTGTAGGCAAAAAGGGTGAAATTCAGGGACTGAAATCCATGGCAATATTCACAGCAGCTTCAACAGACTTATTTCACTATAGGAGTTTTGCAATTGATTTCCATGGCAGGAAGATCAAGCCTGCGGTTTACCTTGCTTCCTCTCTGTGTCCCGTACAACCCTCTAGCTTAGAGATTATTACTGGTGAACTCCCAGCTACGGTATCCTTATTATAACTCCAGATAGAAGAGCACATAGTGTACTGTCTAAGTCAGAATGACTGCATCAGTGCAAAAATCCTTGCTCGTAGTATCTAATACCTTATGCTTGAAGGGAAGCTCCCTTTGATCTTGGCTCTCCCTCTTTTCAGAATTATGTACATTTTTTCACCTCAGATTTTTCTTTGGGACATCTAATCTCTCCCTCCTTTTCCCTGCCCGATTCTCTAAGATTTATGTAAGAAACCATGCTAAAACCTGATTAATGGTCTGGGATAATCTATTCCTTTCCTGTAAGGATGCTGAGGACAACCAATTTCTCTAGCTTCCAGTGACCTATCACACTGGATCTTCCCATTTAAGGAGTTTCTTAAGAACCTCTGTTTCTTTTTGCAGAAGTTGGTTATAAATCTTAGTAAGAGACTATCTATGTAGTCAGATGGTCAATGGTACAGGAGATACAGTCATCCAGAATTTGTATGTTTTACATGCACAGATTCCAAAGCTGCCCATTGTTCAGCCCATAAAAAATTCCAGTCACTGTGTATAATTTAAACATCTTCCAAAAACAGAACTCAGAAGTTTTAGATTCTATTTGTGATGTTCTAGTGTAGCGCAACAGCCAATTTTACCTCTTCAATCATTATTCTTAATTAAGATTTCTTTCATAAAATTAGCATTAAAGTGATATGTTGCAGATGTACAGAAATTATCATTACTTTAAACAAGTTTTGAAGAAGCAGACGGAGAAAAGCCCCACCACCTGAATAAACTCTCAGTCTTAATTTAGCCATTATGAAGATCTATGAGGATTAAGCAGCTTTTTCCACACCCACCTGTTTCTCGTTTTCCTCTGAAAGCCAACATACTTGGTTTAATTTAAGCATTCCCAGCAGTCTCTCTACTCACTGCTTGTTAAAGACAATTGAAAACTGGTTCACATCCAGTATTAATTGCATTTATTAGACTTTGCTGGTAAGATTAAAATAATGTAGGTGTCATGTTTACAGATGTATCGCTCTATTAAGTTTGTCAGATTTTGCACCGAGTAAAATGTAATTTCTTTGAAGTTTTTGTCTATTATGTCCTAGCTTGGCTTAGTATGTCATTTTAAATTACAGACATTGTCATAGAATGACAGATAAGGTCCCCTGACCTGTCTCGGATTCAACAGAGAAATATGGTTGTCCCTGGAGAATGCTGTAGACAACTTTAGCACTGTTCCCATATGTAGGATCGTCAGCATCAGTTGCAGTGACTTGCACAACAAAGGTACCTGCAATGATAAAGTAAAGAAAATAGAAATCCACAGTTTTCTTTTCATGGACAAGACAGTTTACGATGTAGAAAAAGCATAGCTCAGGTTCAGATCAAACTTGTAGCAAAAAGTTAGAAATATTCTTATTTTGTAGAAGTGTATCTTCATAAAGTACATAGAAACAGAAATGAAATGATAGTTGTCTTATTCACTGTTCATTAAAATACAGAGTTATTGATTAGGTATGTAGATCCTTCATCATATTTCTTACCAAGAAACAGAAATGCATTCTTCCCCAGATATTGAAGGCATTCAGAATTTGAATCTAGGTCAAGAATATACTTTTGCAAATTTACTCATGTTTGTAAGGTGTTTGACATAGGAAGAGAAATCTGTTTTTTCATGTGTCTTTTAGAGAAAGAAAAGGTGTTGAATACTAGGCAAAGTGTTAACAAACATAAAAAATGAGCTTAGGTTTTGGCATTTGAAACAGATTTGTGAATAAAATATTCACTTCAAACATTAAAATGAGAATATTAGGTTCTCTTCTCATCAGATGAGGTTTCATCCATGTGACAAGTCCCATGAATGAGAGGAGAGAGTATGCCCCAAAGTCTTTATTCTCATATTGCTTGAGCTTTATTTTAATCTTGTTCTTGATTATGATTAATTAATGCTTCTCTCTCTGGATATTATTTCAGATTAGAAAGGTGCTTCTTGCAGTTTACACATCCATTGCTCTCTGACAAAGAAATCAAAATGGCCTCCTTAAGAATCAGAGACAAAGAATCACAACTTGCCAACTTCTCTGGAAAAGATCCAATCTTAAAATCATTATTTCACAGAAGTTATTTTCTTTTCTTTTATTGATTCATTCTTAAAGCTTGATACATTTTAAATCAATAGAAAGATTTCAATGGACTTCAATGGACTTTGGAGCTTTTTTCTTTTGCATGAAAAGAGCAACAAAGGTCACAGGAAGTTAATGGCATCTCTCAGAATCAGTGATGAGTTGAGTTGGGTGACAGTTTTTGTTCCTGAAGTTTGTACAACCACTTCTGCACCTGCTCTTTTCCATTTTTTTTTACCCTCCTGAACTAAAGAAGAGATGCTGAACAGGTCTAGGGGTGGTATGGACACACTCAGGTGAACATGGATTACCATATTATTACACTGCTACTAAATCATATTAACAAAGCATATTAAATCCTTTGCAGGTGTCATGTAGCACAGCTTAGGTCAGCTCACTTTCACTGGGAGTTAACCTGGATTGTACCAACTTGCATTTTTTGTGGTACAACAAAGGGATTGAGTTTCACTCAGCTGACACCTCTGATTCCAGCAAACTGTTGTCACTATTTTCCTGGGGTTAGATTTTATTTTTTTTTAAGTGGCTGAGGTGATTTTATTCCAGACTCAAACAGCAGATATCTGTATTCAGTGCCTGTAGACTTTGAGCCCTTCACTAAGTCCACAGAAAGAACCCAGACCAGACACTGAAATCAATTATTAGTTAGCACCTACCAACATCTGACATTTCGGGAATGCTGGCATTGTAAATGTCCTTTGTAAACATTGGCTCATTGTCATTGATATCATGGATCTTAATGATGAACTCAGATTCTGGTTCCACTGGTCTTCCAGTCCTTCTGTTTATAGCCTGGGCACGGAGTATGTATACAGGCTTTTCTTCCCTGTCTAGTCTCTTTGTGGCCTGGATGTCACCAGTGTTTTCATTGATAATGAAGAGGTCTCCTGCTCCATCTCCAGAAAGGATGTACTTAAGTGATCCATCTCCTTTATCCTGGTCTGAATGCAGCTGGTGGTGAAATGGGAATTAAAAAAAAAAAAAAAGAGAGGAAGGTAAATAATTGGAACACAATTCTAGATCCTTTAACCAATACCATGATACATGCTTTACTAACACCCAGCTAAAAGGCTCTACACTGCATTTGGGAAATGAGGTGATACCACAGTAGAAGCAGTGTATTGATAGAGTTGTGTCTTGATGTTGGAATTGAAATGGTCTGCAATATTGTAAGAAATTGCCAGAGGAAAACCAAGAACCGAAGCTGCAGATCAGTTTCCTAAACTAAGCGTACATCAGTCAGATCTAAATGCTAGTGGCTTAGGTGGAGTCCTAGGACAGTGAGATCTTACAGTGGAAAAACACTGGATTCAGGATTTGCAGTAAGCAAAGAATTAAAAAGTGTCCAGGCCAATCACTTCTCGAGTTTAAATTCTGGATGCTCTACTCTTATGCCCAGTGGACATGATATATAATATTCCACACACACACAACATGATAACATACCAAATATATACAAGAAGAGCAGATAAATACATGCATTCACAGATGTGGCAAAGAGCAGAGGCAGGCATACTAAACCATTCCAGTGCTGGCAATGAAGAGATCTGTTGCCTTATTCAAAGGGACATGGATGAAGCTGAAACATGGTGGCGGCACAGGGAAAAAGAGAATGGTGGTAATTAGCACACAAAGCATCAGCTGCCCAAATAATAGGGTTTTTTTTCCCCAGGAGATTTCCACATGTATTGAAATGCTGCTTAGCACACACACTAGGTATGACCAATTAAATCATACTCTCATGGCTGTTCTCTTGCTAAAGGCTTATTTATCCCTCCTTGCCTTAGAATCAAGGCTAATCAACTACAATTTATTTTGCTGTTACATTAGAGAAAACAAAAATTTAAAAAATGAAACATTAAAATGGCTTCTAAAGTCAGAGCATAGGTGATGAAATTCATGGGAAAAAAATAATCTATTATGTAGAAGATTACATATGGAAATTGTTGATTTCATAGAAAGGACATGTTTTGAGTCAGGAGAGCTGGATTTTCTCAACCAGCTCTTTGCTTCTCCTTTCCTGCATACAAGTTAGGAAAAAAATACCTAATTGACTATGTGGCAAAGCACTTAGCATTGCTGGGTGGCATGCTTTGCAGAACAGAAAGATTTGTAGGTTGAAAGAATATACAAAATCTTCACATAGACTTTACCAGTGCCTGGCTATGCCCCTACCATGCTGGAAGGGGCACAGCCAAACTCTTGTTTGCCTTGAAAGCCTCTTTAACTTTATCTGTATCATATTGTGACAAAAAGAGCCCTCAGTAACAGACTATCAGACTATCTGAATCATGTTGTGAGACTTGTTACAGGCTGAAATCTCAAACTCATTTTTGTCATAATTTTAATTAAACCTGGTTTCAATAAACAAGGTAGCAAAAAACCGCCAAGCTAGAAAAGGTGTAACCACTGGGAATTGTCTCCCATAATATTCTTTAGCAAGCCCAGACCACCTAAAGAGATAAAAATGGAAACTTGTGTGATTTTTTCAAGTCTGTAGTTTATGAAATTTTCGCTCCTTCTCTACAATTAATCCACCTGTGTAAGATTGGCTGTGACTTTGGATATCAAGACAAAGTATATCTCAGTGTAATGACTCATCAATATTGAGAATGAGGCGATCTTCACCAAAGGTTCAGTCTTTAGCCCTTCAGCAAAAGCACTAACTTTTGAAAAGAAACATTCCCTCTGACAAGACCCTTTCCAACTTCAATACCTTTAGTTTTACAGTTTTCCTGAGATTGGACAGAACAAACTAAGTGCTCAGTTGGTCAGGCTGTGTGTGGATTATTTACTGTGAGAGCAAGACCGGGAGGAGGTCACGTCCTGCGTATCAGTGTATATTACATAGAGCTAAGCCTGGCTCAATGCCTGCTCTTCAAACCAACAGCAAACTTACAGTGTGTCACCATGTGTGGCCTCAAGACCTTAGTTTACAAAGAGTCTTCAGAAGGTACGATTACAATCTGTTTGATTTCAGTAAACTGGAATAGTTCTCCAACTGCTTGTCACCAGGGTTTTTGTGGGATAGGCCTATATCACAACACCAGCATCAACTGCTGGGCCAAAATAATTGGGATTTTGTTCCCTTCTTTTCAGAACCTTGGTTTTATATATTAGAATAAACAAGCAGGTCTCTAGAAAAGTTTCTCACAAATGATAAATTTGTAATGTTCACTTGTGAGGAAAATAACTGTAAAAATGATTTATAATTTTAGATTACATTATCTGTCTTTGACCGTTTGTTCAGTAGAAAAGTTTTATCCAGGCAAAGACAATAATATGTTTTATTTTTTCTTAAGTGTTTGTTTATCTTGGAAACAATATTTTGTCTGTGCGACCTATATGAAGAGCGAAATTGCTACTGTAACCAGGTTAAAAAAAAAAAAAATCAGGAATAAAATTAAAGGAGAAACAAATGGTGCAAATAGAGGCCAAAAGAAGTGCCTGGAGGCAAGATGCACTTAAAAATACAGTTGATAATTTTTTATACAAAACTTAACACCATTGTTAGGTCATGAGGATGAAATGAGTAGTAATAACAACTCCCCCTTTCTGTTTAAGCTATTATTCACTACCCAGACACCTCATTGCAAAGGAAAATTGCTATGATGAGATATGTATATAAATTATGCTGCAGATGTTTTTGGCAGGACTGATTCTAGCCAATGTGTGACATTATAGCTTCACTCTGTGCTAACCCGTTTTGTGAGAGAGTGTCCATTATCCTTTGATGCGTTGGTCAGATAAATGGGCCATGGCAGGTAGTCATGGGATAGAATAAAACCTCTTGGAACACAGTGCTCATGTCATCTGGGCTGTATCATATTACCATTCTTCAGACAAAGTTACTGCAACCAAAGATTTTTAGGACTCCAGGTAAAGGTAGATTTTTTATTTCCATAGGAACTCAGTGTTACTCAATGGCACTCATTTCAGTTGGTGACTGAAGTGAGCAATACCCCAAAGGTAAGCAAAATTGTAAAGAAAGAAGTCTATGCAATAAAAAGTAAATGCATCAGCAATTGCACTGTATTAATATTAGAGTAAATTGATTCATTCAGAATCTATTCTGGACACTTTTGTGAAATTGTCCATCAATCATTGGCTAATGATGAGGATGAATGACAAATTAAAGATTTTACTATGCCCTAGGCATACTTTTACTCATTTTACTTTAATACCACTGTTAAGTGAACCGTCTGGTTTGCTTTTAATGACTTACAGTCAGCTAAAACCTGTCCAGCCTCTGTCTTTCTTCTGCCTCCCCCAAATGTCCTGACCCAAAACATTCCAATACAGCTGCCTGAAAACAGGGAAGCCTTCATGCCTCCAAGAAGAGGCATCTGAAGTGCATGCAGGACTGCAATTAGCTGCCTGTATTTGACATTCAGCTTGTTGTCACATACATAATTACTTTAAAAGGAGAGTTGTTTGTTTTGTTTTGTTTTGTTTTGTTTTTTAAATTAACCACAATCCGGCATAGCCTCTTTCTCTGCGGTGTCTCTAGCAGAGCCTTCCGAAAGTGCCAAGGGCTGTGGTAAGATGGTTTTCCATCCATCCTACAGCAGTTACTAACTTCTGGAAAGATCAAAGTCAACTGACCTTGGGATGTACACACTGAACAATCAACCTACAATTATCCAGAAATAAGCTGCCTGTTACATCTTATTATTTGTTTGTATTTATAAGAGGAACTTGCTATTCTGGGGTTGCTGGGGTCACATTTCTGCCTCGTAACACAATAATGGAGGCCAATTATTAAAACAGTACGTAGGCACTTAGTAGGTATCTAACAAAGAGAATCATGGGTTTACGCTTGGCAGTATTCATAGCACGTGATTTAGCTCCAAATTGAATAGATCCAAACAGCAGAGTTCTGTCTAGTAATGAACAAATTCAACCACATATATTGCTTGAGGTTACACAGTGCAATGCTACAGCATTCAGAAAAACTAAAGCACTCAAAATGAAACTGCTAATGCTACAATATTAGTTTCTATTTCAAAACAATAACAACCTTGCACTCTTTCTTGTCTCTTCCGGTGCTCTGCATGCCTATAATATCAACCAACCTCCTCAATTAATATAATAATCAACACCATTAATATCATCAAATAATTAGCACCAAAGTTTTTACTCCACTTGGTGACTCTGTGTTAAAAGGAAAACAGCATTGGTTTTGCACATTAGGTAATAAATATTTACATATACTTTGCTGAAGTTTAAGTTTAGACTTCTTCCTAATGCACAAAGAATACCCCCAGAACACTATATATGTGTTCCATATACCTACATATACACACACTGTATCATGTATCATCGGGACAAATACCTACACAGACAATTTATTTCAAGCCAGAAAGGATCCTTTCTTGTAAAAAGATATTCCACAAGATCCACAGCAAGATCCAGCATCACCACAAATGACAGATTTCCTATGGATGTGTGTGTCATGTTCTTATGGCCTCAGTTATGCTAAACTCCGTGCTCCACATAACCTCTCTATCTGACCCACCCCTAAAGCAAAGCATCCCACTCTCTCTCATATTTCATACTTCCTGCTCCAGCCCGTGTCCTCAAAACCTCTTGACTGCAAAATGCTGCTACTTCTTGTGTTCCATAAATAGTGGCTGGAGAAGAGAGAGCATGGGCTGTGGTTGGTGGTGGCTTTTATGTGTATTTGTGGAACAGCCAGCTGACCAAACCGTCAAGGCACAACGTAGGTTTACTTGCCTTATGCAGATACTGTTCTTCCAAACTGTATATTAAATTAGTGGTTTTGACACCTTTATTCTTCTATAAAATTTAATTTAAAGCAGTTTATGGACTTAAAAATTCTTTAGAGGAGGCCAGTGTGCTGAAGCTAGTTATCTGCTTGGGTCAGATATCTGGAAGGTTATGTCAAGCCTTAGGCACCTACCCTTAGGGACCACTATTTAAAAAATGTA